GACCTTAGAAAACAGCAGCATCTACTCCCCGTGCAAGAGAGTGTGCATGGGTGTGTGGGCGTGAGTGGGGAACAACAGAGGCGGGATTGGGGGGCAGAACTAGGGCAGCTGGAAAGGCAGATTTCTTCTACTTCCGAGCTGAATTTAAGCCTGGTTTACGCTAGGTGTTTCATTCATTCAACAAACGCTTATGGGAAACTTGCCTTTTGCTAGGCACTCTTCAAAGCTCTGGAACACAGCAGTGGACAAGACGGACAAAGGTACTTTGGTTGTGGTTACCAGACTTACGGTTACCACAGGTGGGGGCGGGGCAGGAGTGGGTTCCTGGGTGAAGGTAGTCAAAAGGTACAAACTTCCAGGTATAAGATAAGTAAGGACCAGGAAATAGAAAGTACTACATGATGTCTACAGTTAACACGGCTGTATGGTATGTTTGAAAGTTGTTGAAACTAGATCCCAAGAGTTCTCATCAAGGGAAAAAAAAAATACTTGCTTCTTTCTTCCTTTCTTCCTCCCTCCCTCCCTCCTTTCTTTCTTCTTCCCTCTCTTCCTCTTTTTCTCTTTCTTTCTTTCTTCCTTTCTTATATATATATATGAGATGTTGGATGTTAACTAAGCTTACTGTGGTAATCATTTCACAACATATGATGGCCGAATCACTGCGCTACACATCTTAAACTTACAGTGTCGCATGTCAATTGTATCTCAATAAATTGGAGGGGACAAAAAGAGACAAAAACTGTGGCCTAATGGAGTTTGCATTCTGCTGTGGACACAAACAATAAATAAATACACCAACTGATAAACACATAATTTCAGAGCTGATCTATATGAAAAAGACAAAGTGACTCAGAGGAGGGAAGGAAACATTATTGTAGGTAGGGTGTCAGAGAATACCTTCTGTAGAGGTAAACTGAGCAGAGATAGGAGTGTTGTGAAAAAAAATATAAACAAGCAAGCAACTTTGAACAAAAGTTTTGAAAAAGATTATTCCAGGCAGAGAAAACCACCGGAACAAAGGCACTGAAGGTGGGAATGCTCTCTGCTCTTAGTGGCTTCTAGGAACCTGAACTCAAATGAAGGAGAAGAGGGGTCTCTGAGGAGGCAGGTGAATGATCATTTAGGGTAAGGATTTGGGTTTTGTTCTAGGAATATTGGCAAACCGTGTTTTTAAATGATCACCCTGGGTATCACGTGGAGAAATCTGCAAGGGGCAAAAGTGGAAGCACAGGTGAGGTCACTGTAGCTTAGGTGAAAGATGGCGGCCTGGGGGCGCCTGGGTGGCTGGGTCAGTTAAGCGTCCGACTCCGCCTCGGGTCATGACCTCATGGTTTGTAAGTTCGAGCCTCGAATCGGGCTCTGTGCTGTCAGAGCACAGTCCTCTTCGAATCCTCTGTCCCCCTCTCTCTCTGCCCCTACCTTGCTCACATCCTCTCTGTCAAAAACAAGTAAAAACATTAAAAAAAAAAAATTTTTTTTTTAAATACGGTGGCTGGGACTAGGGTGGGTACTGTGTGGGTAGTGAGAAATAATGATATTTAAGATAAACTTGTAAGGTAGAGCTCATGGAGAACTTGCTAATGGCTGGTGGAGGGGAAGAGAGAGAAATTAAAGATGACTTAGATTTTATCTCACCAAGCCTAGGTAGGGAATGATACAACTGTGTTCTTTTACAAGCCCTCGGGAGGTACAGCCCAGTCTCATAGATGTAGGTCATCACCGTGCTTGTTCATTAAAGCCTTGTCAGTTTATTCCATCCTTGCCAGAGATAAAGAATTTTCTGAAAAGAGAGGCAAACATGTGAGCCATGAGCATCGACAGAAGAAAATCCTTCCCCAAATGAGCTATGCCAAGATCCAGGCCGCTTTGTAATGACTGAGGAATTAATTCATTCACTCTTATTTTTTTCCCCCCCTTTAGCCAATGAGTATTGACTGCCTGCTACATAGCAGGCCCTGTGCTGGGTGCATGTTGGGGGATATACTATCACAGATGTGGACCTGCCCCCAGACAGGTTAAGTCATCCTCACAGCATAGTGGCGGTCAAATACCGGGAATTACAAACACTGGTTAATTCCAGTATCTGACCTACACTGCTCTCCATCTGTATTAATCTGAGATTTAGCATCTGATGGCAAAGAAATGTAAGGAATCAATTGATACTAAATGAGGGAAAGTATTTTTTTGCGGGTGGTGGTGATATTTGCTGTAAATGAAAACTGTTGCATTTCTAAGCATTATTTTGTGGAACTTACTAAGATTAAGAGTCCTCAAATTGGTAAGCATTTTATGAAGGTTGGCCATGCTTTCTTCAGTATTTAACCTAAAAAAAAAAAAAAAAAGAGGTGCAAATAAAAAAAAAATTTAGGATGAGATTTTTTAAAAAGGACCTAACTGACCAGTAATAACCATTCCTGGTAAAGGCTTAGAAGATATTAAAATTCCTTGCTTTCGCAACAAATATTTAGTGTGGTTACAATAATTGAAAAGGCATGCCAGATTGCCTTCGAATATAAAAAGTTAGTGCTCATTGATATAGATGTTGATTCCACCATATACGTTCAGTTTGGGCTGTATGCAGGGCAGATCCTGGACTAAAGCAGCAGTTCTCAAAGTGTGGTTTTTGGATTAACAACATCAGCCTCGCCTAGGAACGTGTTAGAGATGCATACTTTGGGGCCTCATCCTAGGGCTAGTATATCAGAAATTTGGGGATGGGGATGTAAGGGGGTGGCAATCTATGTTATAATAAACCCTCCAGGTAGTTTTGATACTTGATAAAGCTTGAGAATCACCAGACTAAAGGATGCATTTTCCATTCATTCATTCAGCACATTTTCCTCGATTACTTACTATGTACCTGGTACTTTCCTGGGTACTAGGATATGGCAGGAAATAAGGCAAACTAGGTCCCTCCTGTCAAGCAGTAAGCATATTAGAACAGCTGGGACTAAATGGCGAAACACAAACTGCTTTAAATATTCAGAACAGAGGAAATTTAATACAGGAATTGGTTACACAGGAAACGGAAGAACTGTGAAGGCAACAGGCCCTGAGAGCGCGGCAGTCCAGAGATTAGCAACAGCAAGAAGTCGCTGTTACCCCTGGGCTGGAACACAAAGGGAGATGGTGTTATCAGAGCTCAGGGGTCCAGGGCACCTGGCATGTCCGCGGATAGGCAGCCGGAGGCACAGCGCAGGCAAGTGTCGCTTCAGACCCCAGGCCACCTGGGCAGAGAGGGATGGGGAAAAATATATCTTGACTTTTTTCTTCTTTCCACTGTCCCACCGGTTACTTCTAATTTTCCGAGCCCCGTAGGAAATCTGCTGGCAAAGGGGGCTGGCCTGTGCAGCCTGCAGGGGACGGCCCGGCAATACTGAGCGTAACAGAGAAGGCTGGAGAGCCAGGAGGACAAACAGCACAGCATTAGGGCACACACGTTCTAGGGGATTTAGAGTATTGCCCCCAATCCTCTGCCTAGGCTGTTCCTTGCACCTGTGATCGGCAGATGAAAGCTGAGAAATATTTTAAACTTGCGCGATATAGGAGAAGTCGGAGCAAATTACAAACAAGGAGTACGGCAGGGAAAATAAAAGTTCCAATTTATTTTTTTTCTGTCACGGTAATACATTTGTATTCTCTCCTAAATGAATGAGATATTTAGCATGAAAAGATGTTCATGTGCAAATAGAATAGGTGGATTAATTATACCACATTTCCTATCAATTCATTTTTTAATACTGACTACAGTGATTTAAGCTTTCAAAAAGCTAAGCGCTCACACAAATCACGTCTCCAGAGACTGTGTGCTTTGTGCTGATCAATAATTATTCTGTTAATTATGGAGATATAGGGAACATTAGGCCATTTATAATTCTGCATGCATAAGAACAACTCTTCAAAGCTGAAAATACCTTTCTGTTTAGGTTGGCTTAATGCTCTGGAAGATGATTAGACCACATCCTCAATTAATCTTTTGGCAAGTACAATTTTCTTATTTTTCTACCAAGCTTATTTTGCTTTGGGAAGACTAAAAACTAAAAATCACTATCAGCCCAAATATATATTTTTTCTCCTGTTGGGTTTCTCCCAACCTTTAAGACCTTTTCTGTGAAGGGATCTTTGATTCATCGAGTATTTAGTGCAGGCATCTCTGGTGCAAAATACTGTAGGGGGTAAAAATACTTTTCATAAGAATGAAGCTTGTACAGAGAGCAGTCTCCAAGCCTGGGTGTGAACAGTCTGCCAGCCAGATAGGCTGTACCTGTTAGATTTGTGACCTGGTTTTAATTAAATTATCTGAGTCCATTTCTTTCTTGGTAAAATGGGACTCATCATATCCGTCTCACAAAAAGCTATGAGAATTTAAAAATGATATATATTCCTATAGGTCTGATGCTGTGTCTGGAATACAGTGAGTGAGTACACTTATAACAATAAGTGTTAGTTTCCTTCCTAGATATTCTGCATACTTTCCCTCTCCCTAGATAATGTCATTCTTTTTTTTTTTTTAATTTTTTAATGTTTATTTATTTTTGAGAGAGGGAGAGAGAGAGGTGAGGGGAGCAGAGAGAGAGGGAGACACAGAATCTGAAGCAGGCTCTAGGCTCTGAGCTGTGAGCACAGAGCCCGACCCGGGGCTCGAACCCAAGAACCGTGAGATCATGACCTGAGCTGAAGTCAGACACTCAACCGACTGAGCCACCCAGGCACCCCTGATAATGTCATTCTTTTATATTTGTTCTTTAATACCACCGAGCTCCCTCTGTACCTTTCTCACAGTCTTCCTATATTTTTCAACATCAGAATAGTTGACTGCCATTGGCAGTCATTGTGGAGAGAAAAATCTCTCTAGCTCACTCATATTGTACTTTGACATTGACTTTATTCATTCAAAGTATTTATTGAGGCTCTGTGTTCCAAGCACTCTTCCGATGGGTCCAAAGTTCTCCTAAAACAGGCAAGATGTTTTCTCACTCAATTAGAAAGGTGTTTCAAGAACCATCTACTAAGTGTATATGACATGCCAAGTTTGTTTTAGCAGTGAGAATACAACAGGGGACAAACAAGTCTTTGCCCTCATGAAGCTGAAAAATTAGCAAAGACCAACCGATCGATTAACAGCCAATGCTAAAATACGCCGTGTAGCGATAAGAACTTGGAAGACAAATAAAGCAGGGTGAGGGCACTAGGGATGGCACGTGAAAACACGACTCTTAGGCAGAAAGCAGAATGAACAGGGGGAGTAAGCACCCGGAGCGTCGGCAAGACGAGAGGCTGTGGGCAGTGGAGAGGCCACGTGCCATGACGAAATGCCAGGACACGGCTGGAAAAGAAGTGTGGAAAGAACGGTGAGTAAGGAGCACAATGAGGACTGAGAGGCAGTGGGGCCAGTTCCCATTGGGCCGTGTGAACCAACATGAGCACTCTTCATCTTGTGAGAGATGAGGGGCGTTTCTGACTTATTTTCTAAGGAGCCCTCCGGCTGCCTGGTGGAAGAAGGTCTGCAAGAGGGAGGCATGGAAGCAGAGAGGTGGCTCTCGGGGAACAGAACTGTGGCTCTGCTTTAGTAGTGTGGAAAGAAATGAGGAAGGCGCAGGTTCTGAATATATTTTCAAGACGGAGCCAATGGGATTTGCTGAAAATTATAGATGGAGGGTGAGAGGAAGACAGAAGGCAGGGATGCCTTCAAGGGTTTTAATTTGAGCAATTGGAGAAAATCCCTTGCAGAGTGTAAACTCTGGTGGGGGAGGAAGGCACTGAACCAGTAAACCTACTGGAATGGCATTGACTAACCTGATGGGTGGTGGTGAAGGTGGGTCAGGCGGCCAGCGACACTTCTACAGGAAGTAGTATTTAGTCTGGGACCTGAAGGATGAGTGAGAGGTAGCGGGGGGAAGAGGAGAGTCTTCAGGGGGAGGGGAGGCAGTGGAGGGCACAGATGTCAACATATGCGGAGACCCTGACACAGACAAGAGCTTTATAACCATCTGACTGTAGAGTAGACTCAAGGGGGACCTAGCCTGGTTTGTTCATTTGTATCTCTTCTACCGACGCACAACTTTTGCCCAAGTCCACATATACCAAAGGTCTTTTGTTTGTTTGTTTCTCATTCAGCAAAATTCCAGTTTTAGCTTCTGGTTGTATAGCTGGCTTATGTTAAAAACCAGTAATTTTTTTTTTAAATTTTTTTTCAACGTTTTTTATTTATTTTTGGGAGAGAGACAGAGCATGAATGGGGGAGGGGCAGAGAGAGAGGGAGACACAGAATCGGAAACAAGCTCCAAGCTCCGAGCCGTCAGCCCAGAGCCTGATGCGGGGCTTGAACTCACGGACCGAGAGATCGTGACCTGGCTGAAGTCGGACGCTCAATCGACTACGCCACCCAGGCGCCCCAAAAACCAGTAATTTTTACTTTGAGAAATTAAAAACAAATAAAGTTCAGAAAACAATAAAACACTCGCATGCCCATCATGCAGAATCAATAGCTAGTAACTAAATTGGTTTCCAGTCTTTTTTATTTTTAAGTTGTAATATTTTTTTTTTTTTTAGGATGTTAAAGATGTAAGTAGAATTAACATATAATGCTATATTCGTTTCAGGCATACAGTATAATGATTCAACAAGTCTATAAATCACTCAGTCCTCATCAAGATCCATATACTCTTAATTCCCTTTGTCTATTTTACCCATCCCATCCACGTCTTCCTGGCAACCACCGGTTTTTTTTCTGTATTTAAGCTTGTTTTTTTTGTTTATCTCCATTTGTTTGTTTTGTTTCTTACATTGATTTCTTGGTTTACTCTTTATTTATTGACTTCTTAATATAGAATCTGTTTCTTAATATAGAATCGGTTTTCTCTCCTTATGCTTGCCACACGTGGATCCATTCCGTTCCCCCGTGGACATTTGTCATTTAATATTTTTACTGTTATGATTCTATAAATGCTATTCACGACTGACCATAGGGTAAATCATATGTATTTTTCCTTTCCTGTACACTTTTGCTTTCCCTGAAGTTAATAACTACCCTTTTGTTTTGATTGTTTGCCTGGTTTTTTTGTATATCTAATCACAAATCTGATCGCAGACTCTCATCCTGTTGCCTGAACTCATGGTTCAGGCACTTCAGATATTCTATCCATTTAATCTTCTGCTGGAATGACATCGGAGACCTTGGCCTGCTTCAGTCCTAGCTGGGGGTGTCCGCGTCTCGTGTAGAAGTGGTCTTCTGGGACCTCCTTCCACCACTATCCTAGGAGTTCCTTTCTCCTCCCTCCTCCTGTGGGTACCTGTCTCCCTGAACCTGATGTCCTCTTTGCTTTTGTTGTTGTTGCTGTTGTTGTTGTTTTACTGCCTCGTTTGGATACTGCTAATCCTTAGTAGCACTGTGAGAAAGAAGGCACGAGGGACACATTTTTGATACCTTCTATGCTTTATTCTAGCCATACGCTTGTTCCAGTTATCTGGGTGCCTCTTGCTATGCTGGAGGCTCTGTGAGGGCAGGGACTCTCCATTCTTCTTAGCGGTCCCCCGGGGCCAAGCCCAGCTCAACAATTAAATATAAGAACAAATTGGTGAAGTTTATAACATGTATGCTGGGTCCATCAGTATCATATGTTTGAAAACAAGTTGTGAAACTTAAATTATCATAGAGGCATTTCCAAATACTTGTACACATGGCATCGGGTTGACCAACTATACGGATACTTGAGCTTTTTGGCATTCATGTGGATGTTTGATGTTTAATAGTCCTCTAGGCCCATTGTCAGATCTTATTTTGGGGTTGATAATTTCCATTTAGGTGCGTTTAATATATATCAATATATCTACACATATCTATATCTAAAATTAAAAAATAAAAATAGATTATATAAAATAAACACATAAGGAGTGCCTGGGTGGCTCAGTCAGTTAAGCTTCCGACTTCAGCTCAGGTCATGATCTCATGGTTCATGAGTTCAAGCCCTGCGTCGGGCTCTGTGCTGACAGCTCAGTGCCTGGAGCCTGCTTCAGATTTTCTCTCTCTCTCTCTCTCTCTGCCTCTTTTCCACTCATTCTCTCCCTCAAAAATAAGTATTAAGGGGCGCCTGGGTGGCGCAGTCGGTTGGGCGTCCGACTTCAGCCAGGTCACGATCTCGCAGTCCGTGAGTTCGAGCCCCGCATCGGGCTCTGGGCTGATGGCTCAGAGCCTGGAGCCTGCTTCCGATTCTGTGTCTCCCTCTCTCTCTGCCCCTCCCCCGTTCATGCTCTGTCTCTCTCTGTCCCAAAAATAAATAAACGTTGAAAAATAAGTATTAAAAAGAATAAAAAATAAAATAAAATAAGCAAACAAAATGTAATTACATATATGCAATTAATATATAAAAATATAAATACAAAATATGTTACATAAAATTATACCATATAATGTAATTATATAGTATTAATACAATATAAAAAATATATGCAATTTTATATAAATGAATCAATGCCATTTTTGTTACTTTTTTACTGTTTTATTGTGGTAAAAAAATACATATGACAAAATATGCATCTAATACTATTTTGAAGATCAGTCTTTAATGTAGAAGTTCGTGAATCTATGACTGCCTGTGTCTGATAGGACTAATGAGGAACTCAGACCGAAAATCACAGGGCAATAATGGGGAAAAGATCTGTGCTTTTAAGAGTTTAGAAAGTTTTTTCCGATGTAAAGTCAGTATAAATCTGTGTTGCATAAAGTAATTGCATATGGTCAGGAGGGGATACTACTAGATAAGAGTTAAAGCAATTATAGGGGCGCCTGGGTGGCTCAGTCGGTTGAGCGTCCGACTTCAGCTCAGGTCACGATCTCGCGGTCCGGGAGTTCGAGCCCTGCGTCAGGCTCTGGGGCTGATGGCTCAGAGCCTGGAGCCTGCTTCCCGTTCTGTGCCTCCCTCTCTCTCTGCCCCTCCCCCGTTCATGCTCTGTCTCTCTCTGTCTCAAAATAAATAAACGTTAAACAAAAATTAAAAAAAAAAAAAAGGCAATTATATATGTTATATGTTACAAACCGAATAGAATTGTAATAGTAACCAAAAATTATTGGGCTATTAGTATCTGCTGACACAATGCTAAGTGTTTTACATATATTAAGTTTTTTTGCAAAAAAATTAGTTCTCATACAAATAGTGAATTAAATAGTACTGTTTTCCCCCTTTTTATATATGTGGCATTAGGCAAAAAGTACAAAGTTATGTAATATTAACTGGTCTGGCCAGGAGGTGAACCAAGGCAGTCACTCTAGAAACTGGACGACTCACTGCTAGGCCCTCCTGTCTGTACCGGAATCAATCTTCGCACTTTTGGAATGAGACCTTGATTTAGATTCAGAGTGTATTCAGTTTATTATTCAATTTAGAGTTGAGTTCCTATCTCAGCTATATCACTCACTAACTTTTTAAACTTGGCTTCAATCCACATGACCTCACACCAAAGGAACAGGGACAAATAATATCGATTTATGCTGAAAATTACATGTGGCAGTAAAGGATAGCCCGTTGTTTTTTTCCCTTAGGACTTTGAAATTCATCTCAGCATAAAAGATATCGTTCTATACCCAAGCACTAGTATGTCTAGGAAGACAGTATTTGAAATAAGAATTGACCATCAAAATCGGGAGAGCACCCCTGTCCTTTCAAAACTAGCATATATTAACTTTTTGCAGGAGTCGAGAGATACAAGATTCACAGACATCCAATTAACAGTCTAACAGGACAGAAACAGTTACAAAATTAATTACCTATGATTATCACACAAAAGGAGGTGATTACATTACTTGAGTGACAAAAAGGGAAGTGTTCAGCGAAGACACAAAAGCACCAGTGGAAATAAACTGATAAAAACAAGGTTACCCATGGTTCACATAGAAATAGCACGCTTTAGTTTCTGTGTTCACAGTAACATTAAAATGACGTGCTTTCCATTTTCTTAGGCATCAGTACATCTTTTCAAGGAACATATAGTTATCATTAAACCTTTGTTTTGCTTTTCCCTCGCTACATCTTATAAACATCCATCACTAGAGAAAAGTATAAAAGAAACAATCTAGTGGCAACTGAATCACATCAGAGGCATAATTAATATCTTCCCAACTCCTGCTAGTTCATTCAGATTCAGCGTAGAACCCTTTTCCTCACAAGCTTTGTTTAGCCTCCTTGATTATTAGGTGCCTCGTAAAATTATGCTCTCGGAGCACCCTGTATTTCCAGAGGAATTAAAATCATATACAGTTGCTCGCTTAATGTTTTGTCATACGGCCTGGAAGCTTGCTCCATAACCATGCGCCATATTGACTTAGTCAATGCCCTGGCCGGTGCCTGGCATCCCG